CTCCTTCTTCCCAGTCATGTGACGAAAGCAACCACTATCAATGTACCATTTATTATCATATTGCTCGTCACATAGTACCTACAATCAGTGGAAAAATTTAGGTACCCAAGGCTTTTTGGGTCCTTGGAAATTAGACTTCAATTTCGAATGTAATGAAGAACTTTTAACCCAATCACAAACTTTGGTTTTGAGACTATCAATTAAGTTCACATCATCATTTATAGGAACTGAAACATAAGATTTTGATGGTTTCGGATGTTCACTGACATTACCCTTCGTATTTTGAGTTTGTGATTGTACATTCTTTGCTTTCATTACTGGTTTCCATGCTTTGACTTATATGTTCGAATCCTTAGAAGATGAACTGTCGTTTGATGAAGTATTCACATACTTCTCATAGGCTTCATGAATTTGCTCCTTTGAAAATGTACTCGACTGATACATTTTCCCTTTGCCTTCAAGCCAATGATCAATGTTCTTCCTTGAAGTTATCCCTTTTTCATGTGAAAATTTCAAAGTTTGTTTCTTCGTATGATTAGGAAAATTTGGCTTTTGAGGAACAAAATCAACTTTTGGATTGGTTAGAAAAGATTGAGCATAAGATGTATCAACAGTTGATTTAACATGTTGACGTTGAGAGAATTTTTGAGTTGTCTTTGATTTATTTGAAAATTTTCTTGGAAGATTAGTTTCTGAAACTTTCGAAAACTTTGGTTGTTTATTCACTTCTGACCTTGAATGATTTGATTGTGATGAAGGTTGATTATTTGTTGAAAAAGAGGAATTTTTAGCTTTGAAAACATTTTTGGGTGATTGTGATTCAGACAAGTATTTATTGTTTGAGCGGGGATTTTTCTTTTTGTTTGAAAAAGTTGTTGCATCTGTTTTTGTCATTTCATCTGACATCTTTTGAGACTCAATAATCTGCCAAAATATTTTCTTCCTAGCTTGTCTTTTTGAAATGTTATTTTCCTTCGAAAATTTGTCAATTTGATCTTTGAATTCCTTGGAGTTTAATTTGACAACATTTTCATTTTCCATTACAACTTGTTTTGAAGATTTTTGATTTTTCCACCCATTTTCTTTGTGGTTTTTGACGTTGAAAAACATACGAATTCTTTGTTAGATTGTTTTCAACTGTGCTTTGATTTGCAAAGAAACCTTCATCAGTTGTTTTCAAATTATCTTCTTCAACTAACTTCTTTAATTCTGGTTTGATATTCTCAACATTTCCAGTAGCTACGAATACTTGATTTGGAAAAATGACATCATCTGTACACTTGAAATTTGGATAAACTACAGTATTCGTTTCAAGATAGTGAACACCTTGTTCATTCATTACTTTTTCGAACTTTTGTGTATCACCATACACTTGATCAACCACAATTCGAGGAATTTCTTCTTCCTTTGAAGATTTCTTTTTCTTCGAAATTTTCTCTTCATTTTCATCATCGCTACCATCAGTTTGACTATCTCTGATATGCACGAAGTCCAAATCACAAACTTTCGAAGTTGAGGGTATATCAATTTCTTTCGTAACCATCAAGTCCTTAACTTTTTCTTTCCCTTTAAATGTTGATGCAACATTAACAATAGACAACTGGGAACAATCAACATCCTCAAGATCACTAATTTCACTAATATTGTCAGAATTATCTTCAATATCGACAAAATTAGATTGAGAATCAGATGTTGAATTCTCAGTCTTTTTCAAAATTTGAATTTGTTCAGATTTAGTCAAAGTATCATTCACTATGTTAACTAATTCATTCGTATCAAGACATTCATCAATTTTGACAATTCCATATTTATATCTGTCATCAGGAACTTTGTCAAATTCAGCTATTATCTTCTCACAATCATACGAAATATTATCTACCTTAGCTCTTTCGTATGCTAGAAAAGGTAGTAGTTTTCTATGTTGCCCTTTACTTATTTCACATGAATGATGTAAATCAGTTAATTTGCCATAAAGTCTCTTAGCGGAATTACAGTATATGTTTCTTTGTGCTAGTAAAAGTTTGACTTCATTTGATAAAGTATCCCTATCACACATAATATTCGTTATCTATAATTCCAAACAATCAACTTTACTTATTTTCATGTCTAATTTCTTTTTGGTCTCTAATAACTCCATGGACAACTTGTTGGCCTCATTGCTAGCAGACACAACAATTGAATCAAAATAAGTAACAGTCTCATCAAAAGATATTAGTTCAGAATCATAAGCATGTGTAGGAATATTAAAAGATTCGAGAATATTACGTACCTTTGTTGTCATTGGAGATTTGTCTGCTGCCTTGGATACGAAGCATCTTCCTTTCACTTCGAATTCCTCTTCATCTGAGTCCTCCATCATCTTCGCATACATTGCTCCATGTGTTGGATTCCTCATTTCTTCATCGTCTGATCCGGATGACCAGATTTGATAAGTTCCATCCTCCTCCTGTTCACCCTTTGCGACCGGTGACAAATTCTTAGCTTTCGCACGAACCTCCTCAAGCCTCTCTGCATAATAAGCCTCATCTTTTACTTTATTCTTCCTCTCATCCTTCTTCCGAAGCATACAATCATTCGCAAGATGATTGGCTCCATTGCAATAATGACAATCTATTCCAGCATCACCTTTCAGTTTCTTCTCACTCTTTCCTTTAGACACCTTCGAATCTTTCTTCTCAACCTTCTTTTTCTCCTCAACAACAGTTTTACTCACAGCACTTCCTTTTACCTCAGCAAGCTTAGCCTTCGGATTGAACAACTTTTTGTAAAACTTCTTAACATGATAATTCGAGTAAAATGCTATTGCCTCATCATCCGAATTCATGATGAATCCCTCTTCTTCCTCTGAATCACCATTTTCAGGTTCTTTTCTCAGATATCTTGGACACAAGTGCCAATGGACCTCCCAAATTTAGCTTCGATTCCTCAGCTATTTCATTAACCTCAATTTCGTGTGTCTTCAACTAATTGTACAAATCATTGAGAGTTGATGTATCAAAACTTTGCTGATTCTTCACCATCATACTCACGCTTCTCCATTCTTTTCGAAGACCCATCACAAAGATGAGATTGAATTCCATTGAAGTCCTAGTAATTCCATAGCGGTTGCATCGATAGATTAACTCGTTCAGACGATCATAGTAAACTTCAATTGTTTCACCTTCTTTTTGTCTGAAATCTTTCAGCTCGACCAAACACTGTTTGACTGAATTGATTTTCGTCTTCTCACTTCCTTGAAACTTATCTTTCAGATTGTTCCATATCTCCTTAGCAGTTGTACAACTCCTTTTACGTAATTGTACACAACTGGAGGTAAAGCTCCTCGCAATTCTCTCATACATCTCTTCTCTAGTTTCTTCAGACGATCAGTTTGATTTTCAACACCAGAACTTGCAGAAGATGATCCAATTGCTTGAACATTCACTGGAACATTGACATTTCCAGTGATACATGACCATAATTCTTCATCAAGACCATTCAGATAATCCTGCATACGATCAGCCTACTGATCATAATATTCAGGGATTAGCATTGGAATTTTGGTCGATGATCCTAACAGATGAGAAAACGAGGTCATTGAATTGAGATTGAAGCTCGTCATTGTTGTACGGAAGATGATTTTGAAAATTTTGAAGAAAATTTGGAAATTTGAAAACAAACTAGTTGAATCAAATCGAAATTTCAAGAAGAACACTCGATTCAACAATTCAAATGCAGAATCGAATCACAAACTAAAATCTAGACAAATTTTTCACTATCAAAAAGTGCGGAAACTTTTGAACCAAAAAGTTGATTCAAAAACTTTTTGAATAGGTGAAAATCAGATCACAGATGTGATTCCTGCTCTGATACCAATTGATGAATCAATGAATCAAGTATAAAATGAATCAGAGTATAAAATCAAGTAAGAATGCGAGATTGAACAACAGATGTAAATATGATCTTGTATCAGCTCTATTACACTTTCGAATGTTTACAGAGTACAAAGACAGGTCTGTAAAAACTCTTATCTAACTCTAGTAAATATCTCTATTTATAGGGAACAGAAAGCGTACAAAAAATATACTAAGGCATAGACACTTAAGCTTCGAATAAAAGCGCCTTAGTAAAATAGATTACAAAATATTTGAAGAGTGCAAAATACACTTCGACTAATTACAACATTTTGACCCTTACAGTCGTAGTCAGTAACATGGTACAGATTGTGATGAGACTTTCATCCCCGTTGTTAAACTGATATGAAAGTCTCATCCCATTTCTCACAAATGTCCGGGTTGTTTTCAGGTTGATGGAGGCTATAAGGATTTCGATGTCCAGAAAGATGGCAATGGAGGCGATTGTTTTTTTCTATTTGGTGGATCCGGATGTTTTGGCCATACCGTAATAACATTGTGTTTGGAAAGAAAAGATTAAGATGAATATGGTAGTTGAGCATAATGTTGATTATTCATTTGATTAGTTTGTGTATAGAAATAGTAAGTTTGCTATCAAATGGATTGATTTGATGCATAATCCTATGAATGTCATCCCGGTGTAAATGTTCTTTTTTCTATACCGTTTTGCTATTTTTATTTTTTACTTTTTTGAAACGGCTGAATTGCATTAAAAACAACACTGGCAAGAAGCTAGTGAAAAACCGGAACAATTGAATTTTGCTAGCTTTTTAATATAATATTTGATGTCTTCTAAAAAAAATACATATTTTAGTTTTTTTGGGTAGTTTGTTATTATCATTCTAACAAAAATGGATGGCAATTTGAATTTCATGGAGATGATCTATTCACATTTTCAACAGACCGAATTGGTTTATCGCATCATATCAATACGATTCACATCAATTACATTGATATTTAAAAGTGATAAAACCATACCAAATAAATAGAAAATAACAAACAAATTAAAAACTTTAAATAAATCAACTATAAAATGTAAAAAAGACATATTCTGTACAACATATATATATATATATATATATATATATATATATATATATATTATTATTTCAAGCCCTCAATGAATCCAACCCAAACTACAAGAACAAACCAAAACAAACTACCTTAACCAAAACTACTACTAATGTAACTCTTCACGACATTGTTGCAAAGTATTTGCAACACAGTTTGGTTAGCCGGTCCCACACACCTCGGTGTCTTGAACTGATTTAACGCAGATCCTAACCCAACATAATGATCCAAAATCTTTTGGAAGGTTCCCCTCCTTAAAAATCCGAAGCTCTAAAGGTCCAATTGCATTCACTTTTCGTGAACTCACATAACCCGCATCAACAAACGACTTATCCAAACAATTACAACATTCTTGCAAAACAGCATCACTCGCTTCCCCACTAACTTCCCAAAAGATAACATAATGGCCCGGGTCAGATGCAAGATCAACATGGCTTGTAAAGTCAACCACTTCAAGTTTTTCGGCGGTTAAGATTTTGGCAGCTGCTTCAACGGCTAACTGTAGATCTTTCTCGGTGTTTTTATCGATGTTGATTGTGAGCATGAGGTTTCTTCTACAAACAAATTGGAGCTCAGGAGTCGAGTTATGGAACCCGATAACCTTAACCACATCCCCGAGCCGATACCGATACAAACCCGCAAAATTGGTGACCACAACCTCGTACTCTTCACCGATCTGGACATCGGTCAACCCAACTAGTTTGGGTTGACCAACCAGATCGATCTCTGTCAAGGGTAAGAATTCGAAATACCCGATATTAGGGAGGACAGCGTAAGTTGTCATCTCGGGTGGCAAATTAGGGTTTACATTTGCTCCAATCCACCCTTCCGATGACCCGTAATCTGCGCTTAACAACCGTACTTTACCCGCATAGTGTCGTAGTTTTTTCAAATACGGCTCCATTGACCCGGTCATGATCCCATATATGTACTTACAGTTGGGGAACAGTTCAGGAATTAACCCGTTCCAGTTGGTTAATTCCTGACACTTTTTGTAAATTTTGTCGGCCAGATCAGGGTTTGCAGTCAGAACCTTGGACATAGCGGTTCTCACCGATGGATCCGTGATTCTGGCCGACAGAACTCCTGTTCTGATATCAGAACAGAGTTCTTCCCAGACCAATTCGAAGGTTCTGAAGGAGTGAACGATGCTATGTGCAAAAGTGGAGGATATGATTTGAATTTCTTCATGGCATATGAGTCCACAAAGGAGATGGCAGTATAAAGATTGATGGAAATCAGACCCGAAGATTACTTCGTCTGGGCTACAAGAGGGGGTTTGCATGGCCTGCATCGTTTTCTTGAACTGTGGGCTCCGGTATACATTTGTAGTCGCCGTTCCGGCGAGTAAGCCACCTTTGGTCGTGAATTGCTTGCTTCCGAAGATTAAACTCAAAGCTTTTCCGTTTTCAATTGGGAATGCCCTAAAAGATAATAACAAAAGACGAACATGAGATACAAATCGTTTTATTAGGATTTAGGAAGATTATTGATTCACCGGAATACCTGTTTCTGAAGGCGAAAGAAGTCCGATAAATCTGCATTGTGGTTTCAGTCAGTTCGTCGTTGTAAGGTACAAATTTCGGTTTCCCTTGAGTAGTCCCAGAACTAGAAATTAACATAAACAAACAGTCAGTAAATTATCAGTTCACCGGAAAACGAAATACAATCTCCGGTCACCAGAGTAGATATGGACCTTAGCGTAATGGTGGTGATTGGTTTTCCGGTGAGCACCGGGTAAGATGCACCATCGGCGATTTTTTGAATATAAGGGTCAAGATCTTGGTGCGTAACAACAGGAACACAAGAACTATAGCTTTGAGGATCAAATCTGCCATCAAGATTCCATTTTTTCAAATACTCTGCTTCGCCATTTTCTGTCAAGATTTTCTTTAATGTTTCAATTTGAACCCTTTTTGCATCTTTCGTTAAAGACTCAAATTCTTGAATAACTGTTTCTGAATCAAATCTTTTCTCCATGTTCTTGATCCTGCAATGAAGAGTTTGCATCGTATTAAAGACAAAGTTTGAAGCAAGATGAGGGAAAGTGGTGGAATGGAATCACCATAAAAATAAAAATGAGAGAATAACAAGAATACATTGAAAGAACAAGAGTTTTTGCGAGATGTCACTTTTCAAATAATGCAATTTGACTGTAAAGTCAACATAAAAGTTACCTGGAATTATCGTGATTTTTATTTTTATTTTGTGGGGTTTGTTTCAACGAGAAAAATGACGTGTAGGACCATTAATGGTTTGGAGTTAGGCATTATTTAAAGTATATATGAAGGAGACAAGATACAAAATCTTTTGAAAAACACTGTTTTAAGAAACAATTTGCACATAAATAAATAGAAAAATATTGCAAATATGCTGTCACAATTTCTAATTGACAAATAAAAAGAGAAAGACTTAAAGTCTAAATACGAAGGAATAAAGAAACATTTTTATCATATTTATTTTAGAAAGAACAAAGTACAATTTTTTTTGATGAATTATGCATATCATTTAAATCATTTTTAATGGTGAAAAATGAAAATTGAAATAGACTTTAAGTTTCGGGAAGTGATTAGTACACAAGATTTTTTCTCTGTATACAACATTTTATGTTTAATGGAGTTGTACAATACAATATTTTAAAACATAAATTGTTGTGTATGGAGAAATTTTTTGTGTATGAATCAGTTCCCATAAGTTTCTAATTGTTCATTTCGATTTTAAGAAAAAAAAAGCTAAAAAATTAAATATTATTAATAAGAATAATGTAAAACAGTAGATGAATCATAGTTTTTAAAGACTTTTGAATTCAACGAACCTCATAAATGTGAGGTGAAACAAATGATTTTTAATTGATATCTACAGTTAAATACATTAAACATCAGACAAAAACAAAAAAACTTATAATTTTTAAAATCAGGAATCGGATCTTCAAAAGGGGTCAAGAAAGACAGAGATTCAGGATTAACATGCAAAAACACAATAAATTCTGCTTAATTTAAATGAAAACACGCACCCAATTCATCAAGAAACAAATACAATATACAGTAGAATCGTGATAGAACTGATTTTTCTTCGATTCGTGATCAAAACAGAGACACCCAAATCGTCAAGAAACATATATAGCATTAAAGATTCACAAATGGTCGATGATGATGATTGTGTACTGAATTCATTGGATTTAGATGAAAAACAAGAAACAAACAGTTGGGAGTGTTCCAAAATTTCGCTGATTTCAATACTATTGAAATGAAAAACAGAGTCACCCAAAACACATAACATAACCAATTAAGAATGGAAGATGATGATGATGATGATGATGATGTTTGTTCGACTCAGATGAAAAACAGATACCCAATTGAAAATAATCAGATTGATATAATGATATCGAATAAAGTGTTGGTCTTGAAGTGAGAGAAACAACGACAATCATTATAATAAGAAGAAATCAAAGAAACTTAATTTGGCTGTTTCTACAAAAATATGCACACAGAAACACACAGTGGAATATAAACAGCTGTGAATCAGTACATTTATTTGTGTGTTTCTAGAGAGAGACTAACGGATTTTAGAGAGAGAGAGAGGCATTACCTTTATGTTTTTGATTTGGGAGAAATGAGTTAGAGAAATGGAGCACAATAGCAATGGAAGATTCTTTAAGAGCAGGGTTATATATATAGGCGTTTACCTTTTTGTATGTATGAACATATTTATTTCTATTATGGGTATTATTTTAATTATTAAATTATATATTTGAATACTTGGTGCAAATGTCATAATGACCAACAAAATACAGATATATTATAATATCTTTCTACCAAGTACCAACGTACTAAAGTGTTTCAAAAAAAATATATATACAATCTTTAGTTAATAATAAAAGAAAAAAATTAAATTGTCTCCTACATTTTATGCCTATAAATATTTATATCTACTAATATTATAACACGTATCATCATTCCACCATTCAATTTAATTTAATATGATATATTCCTAATATTTTTTTAATGAGATAGTTTAAAAAAATATGGAATAATAACACATATCATAATGGCTAAGAATATTTATAGTTATGACAATTTATGAGAATGAATACTTTCTATTTTAAATTTATTATACGAAGGAATGTTTGATATATAGCTTTTCAAAATTTTTGAGCATTTTAGCTTTTAGTTTAAAAAATGAAAATTAAAAAAAAAAACAGTTTCTTTGAAGACCACAAGAACTTAAACCCACAAGAACTTAAACCACAAGAACTTGAAAAACAATAGATTCTCAACATATAAGAAAAAAACTGAAAGATTTCGTAAGACACCTAGAAAACAATATAGTGTATATTTTTTCAAGATAAATGATATGCTTCGTATCAGTTAATATACTTGATATTTATTTTATTTTCAACTACAAAAAAATATCAAATTACTTGGGTATCTTGTCATAAGATCAAAGTAATACTAATAAGTTTTGGACTTTTTTAGAAAACTAGCTATTTGTTGGTAGATGAAAGTTCAAATTGTAACTTTTATTTATATAAAGGTATTTAGAACAACAAATTGTTAGCTTGTAAATATATAAAACTAATTAAAAACTAAAAACTAAAAGCTTCGAAAAAATATTTTAAGTAGTTTTTGTATGTGAAGTTTTTTGTTAAAAATAAAAGTAAAAACCTTATGGTCTTCGTAGAAACTGTTTTTTCTAATTTTTATTTTTTAATCTAAAAGCTAAAATGCTTAAAATTTTTGAAAAGCTATATGTCAAACATTCCTTCCTATAATAAATTTAAAATAGAAAGTATTCATTCTCATAAATTGTCACATGCCTTTAATAACCATAAATATTCTTATCCATTAAAATTATGACATGGGTCATCATTCCATATTTTTTAACTATCACATTAAGAATATATTAAGAATATATCATATTAAATTAAATTGAATGGTGGATTGATGATTAGTGTTATAATGTTAGTGGCTATAAATATTTGTACGCATAAAAGACATAAAAGGTAGGAGACAATTTAATTTCTCTTTTATTATTAACTAAAGATTGTATATATTTTTTTTCAAAACATTTTAGTATGTTGGTACTTGGTAGAAAGATATTATAATACTATAAAACTCATATATTACATGAATTCATTTAAAAGAAAAAATTAATATGAAATTCTAAACATTTAAAAGTTTGTATTTATAAAAAAATTAAAAAAAATATTGAATTATTAAACTTAATGTGTTTTTTCTTTTTTAAATTTAAACAAATAATTTAGATAAATAAACAAAATAAACTAATGAGATTTTAAATTTTAAATTTTAAAATTAAAATGAAAGTCAATTAATGAAATTGATATGCATTTATTATAATTACTACATTTAAATATTATATGTAATTTGATAAAATAAAAATAACCACAAAATGCTATGTGGAAAAAATTTAATTAAAAATAACCATAAAATAACATATGACCAAATCAATGACAGTGTGACATGTGGAAATTTTTTTTTCATTTATTAGAGTAGATTAACAAAATAGGCTGTGAATCACTATAATAGTCGGGTTTAGCGAGTATAAGTTTTTCCATTGTTTTTTAGTTAATAATTCTATATTAATATATTTTAAAAAACTTCATAAAAATTAAAACCGCCTTCGTCACCATTGTAGATCACCTGTACTGATGATGTGAGATCTAGTAATTCATGGTTTTATAATAAATGTCAAGTTGTGCGCATTCATAGTCTTTTATAATAAAAGAATTATAATATATTTCCCGTTTTAAATTTTGTTTGGACTTTCTATTAAATAAGAAACGCAACAAACACATTTGTATAAATTAACGTGACGTTAGGCTTAGCAGCCTTAAACCACATATGCAAGCAAGATAACGATAGTAATAGTAAAATGAGATTATAAGTAAAGACTCTTGGCATAAAAAAGAAATATACGTAGAACTATTATGATTCCGAAAAACTGCTCATTGTTTTATTAAGGCGTGTTAACAAAATTACACATCATGACGCGTCATGGTTCCAAGGCTTGTACCTGACGTTACGACTTAACAAAACGTCATGAAAAGTTATATACATATATAAATAATAGTAGAATATATATATATATATATATATATATATATATATATATATATATATATATATATATATATATTTGTGTGTGTGAAGGTTCAAATGAGAACAATTATAAAATCGAGAACGTGAGAACAAATCTTGGGCATATATTTTTTTTTTGCCGCAAAACCCTCCTGCTTATCGTCGTGACGGAGCAACTTAATATTCATATGTTAATATAAAGGTAATACAAATATGCCGCTTAAGCGCTCCAGCGTATCGTGATGACGGAACAGAGAATATTCATATATGAATAATCACTTGAAAATATGCATATACTTGCGGGGGTACCCAAAATGTTTTTGCGGCAAAAAGAAATATGTCGCTATATATATATATATAATTGTTTTCATTTGAACCTAACCATATGCGTGTGTGTCTATATGTATATACCCTAAAAAATACAAATCCTTTTTGTATAATGTCATTTTGTTATTAAATTTGCCACATGTAATTTTGTGATTTCTTTTGAAAAAATTTAAATCGACATGTCATGTGGTTTTTTTAAAATAAATTCAATTAATATGTCACATAATAATAACTAGAAGGTGATTCATGCTTAGTGGCCGTCCGATTTTCATTTCAGTTTACATATTCTTAGTGTTTCTTTGATTCTTTTTTTTCGTTTGTTTTTGTTTTTTTTGTGTATTATGTTTTGAGCAGAGTGTTGAAAATTTTATGGCAAAACTTTGAAAAATAGAAAGTATATGTGATTTATATATATATATATATATATATATATATATATATATATATATCTATATATATATATATATAATGTATTAAATACATTGGATGTGGTAGTAAATGCAAAGAATATTAGAAAAAATAAGATGAAATATATATATATATATTATATATATATATATATATATATATATATATATATATAATGTATTAAATATATTGGATGTGATAATAAATGCAAAAAATATTAAAGAAAATAAGATGAAAAATGTCCGCACAATAATTATTGTTGTATTTTCGATGGTGTGTGTGTGTATATATATATATATATATATATATATATATATATATATATATATATATATATTAAAAGACTAATTATTGGAAAAATATAGAAAACATATATTTTGATGTATTTTTTGGTTTAAAATTCATACTAGGTGTGAGACCCGTGTACTACACAGGTAGATTAAAAAAATTATATTTGAAGATATAAATATTAAGTATTTTTTTTTATAAAAAATGTTAAATATCAAGGTGTAAACATTAAGTACTTTTTTAAAGTAAAATTTCAAAATAAATACAAACAAAATGACAAATAAATAAATAAATACAGTTTATATTAATAAAACAAACTACGGATAAATAATTATATTTTGGCCATATAACCTTTTTTTTAGTTTTATTAATGAAAAACTACAATGTTTGATTATTTTTCCTAAGTAGATTATTTTGGCCTAAAATAATAATGAACTTTAAAAGAAACATGTCAATTTTATATTATGTACATTGAAGGAAACATATTAAAATTTGAAAATATAAGGAAACAAATTAATGACACGTTAATTACTTTTCTATAACCTAAAAATTAGATTAGTTAATTAAGAAAATTGAAAATTACCACAAAATGACAAGTGAAAATTAATTTCTAAGAATTAATCACAAAATGACATGTGACAAAATAAATAAGAGCGTAATAAGTAGCAGAAATGATTTTTATTTAGTAGAATAAATTTATAAGATCACAATTTTAATGTTTATATTTTAGAAAACAATTATTAAGTTTCAGTTTGAAAATGAAAAATAGTATCTTTTGGCACATTTATAAGCTAAAAGATATCATTATTTAAAAATTATCCATCATATCTTCAGAGTTACCATATTTACTAATTACATGTAATTTCAGCCAACAAATCAAAAACTCAAAATTTATGATTGAATTATTGTAGGACACATCACACATGTACTTTTATATTTGTAGATCTTTTACCAGATAAGGCGTAATTAATGTTGGCTATATCATTTATATTAATTTTGCAGCCAAAAAAATAATTTTTCGGGCCTTTTGACTGTTTATTCAAATGTGTAACATCCTAAAAATACTAATAAAAATTTTCGTTTCTAAAATAGTCAAATCCATACATCATATGTTTCAAAACCAATCATTGTACAAATGTATCAAAATCATCAGAGTAACATAACAATCATCGGTGTGGAAGGTCATAAAGGGGGATGTTGTGCAGTCAAGTCGAGTCCTTCCATTTGGAACTGGAAGTACCTGAAAAATGTTTAAACCACAAACTATAAACATAAAAGCTTAATGAGTTCCCTAAAATACCACATACCATACACATTGGCCCAACCCAATATATAAATGGGCCCAACCCAAATGCAAATGGGCCCAACCCAACATACATATAAATGGGCCCAACCCAACATGTAAGTGTGCCCAACCCAACATACATATAAATGGGTCCAGACCAACATACAAATAAATGGGCCCATCCTAACATACACATGAAAGAGTCACAAAGACGGCTAACATCCTACATAGTATAGTGAGAAGACTCACCTATCACACGAAATCAACTAAAACACAGCTCATTGTCACGCAAACATCACTTCAAAACACCTATTTAATCAAACAAGGTCCCACCTTAGTCTAACCTCCAAAAATAACCATTTTTACCA